ACCGCCAACCATAGACTAATGTAAGATTATATATGAGAGATTATATAAAAGGAAATAACTGAGCAGCGAGAGATTCTTCAGGCACTGACCGCCAACCATAGACTAATGTAGGATTATATATGAGAGATTATATAAAAGGAAATAACTGAGCAGTGAGAGATTCTTCAGGCACTGACCGCCAACCATAGACTAATGTAAGATTATATATGAGAGATTATATAAAAGGAAATAACTGAGTAGTGAGAGATTCTTCAGGCACTGACCGTCAACCATAAACTAATGTAAGGTTATATATGAGAGATTATATAAAAGGAAATAACTGAGTAGTGAGATATTCCTCAGGCAGTAACCGTCAACCATAAACTAATGTAAGATTATATATAAGAGATTATATAAAAGGAAATAACTGAGTAGTGAGATATTCTTCAGGCATTAACCGTCAACCATAAACTAATGTACGATTATATATAAGAGATTATATAAAAGGAAATAACTTAGTGAGAGATTCTTCAGACACTAACCGTCAACCGTAAACTAATGTAAGATTATATATGAGAGATTATATAAAAGGAAATAACTGAATAGTGAGAGATTCTTCAGGCACTAACCGTCAACCGTAAACTAATGTAAGATTATATATGAGAGATTATATAAAAGGAAATAACTGAGTAGTGAGAGATTCTTCAGGCACTAACCGTCAACCATAAACTAATGTAAGATTATATATGAGAGATTATATAAAAGGAAATAAACTGAGTAGTGAGAGATTCTTCAGGTACTAACCACTCAACCATAAACTAATGTAAGATTATATATGAGAGATTATATAAAAGGAAATAACTGAGTAGTGAGATATTCTTCAGGCACTAACCGCTCAACCATAAACTAATATAAGATTATATATGAGAGATTATATAAAAGGAAATAACTGAGTAGTGAGATACTCTTCAGGCACTAACCGCTCAACCATAAACTAATATAAGATTATATATAAGAGATTATATAAAAGGAAATAACTGAGTAGTGAGGTATTCAGGCACTAACCGTCAACCATAAACTAATGTAGTTTATATATAAGAGATTATATAAAAGGAAATAACTGAGTAGTGAGAGATTCTTCAGGCAGTAACCGTCAACCATAAACTAATGTAAGATTATATATGAGAGATTATATAAAAGGAAATAACTGCATAGTGAGGTATTCAGGCACTAACCGTCAACATAAACTAATGTAAGATTATATATAAGAGATTATATAAAAGGAAATAACTGAGTAGTGAGAGATTCTTCAGGCACTGACCGTCAACCATAAACTAATGTAAGATTATATATGAGATTATATAAAAGGAAATAACTGAGTAGTGAGGTATTCTTCAGGCACTAACCGCTCAACCATAAACTAATGTAAGATTATATATGAGAGATTATATAAAAGGAAATAACTGAGTAGTGAGATACTCTTCAGGCACTAACCGTTCAACCATAAACTAATGTAAGATTATATATGAGAGATTATATAAAAGGAAATAACTGAGTAGTGAGAGATTCTTCAGGCACTAACCACTCAACCATAAACTAATGTAAGATTATATATAAGAGATTATATAAAAGGAAATAACTGAGTAGTGAGAGATTCTTCAGGCACTAACCGCTCAACCATAAACTAATGTAAGATTATATATATGAGATTATATAAAAGGAAATAACTGAGTAGTGAGATACTCTTCAGGCACTAACCGCACCAACTATAAACTAATATAAGATTATATATGAGATTATATAAAAGGAAGTAACTGAGTAGTAACACTATAAGCTAAGATATTCTTCAGGCACAAATTGTGAGGGAGATCTGCTTAGCTCTCCTTCCTCAGTGCCCAGAAGAGGGGTTACCCACAGCCCCGCACCCTTCTACCCTGGCGTTCACCTGCCCTGTATTAACACACAGCCGTCTGTCCACCAAGACTTCGCTTTGCTCCTGAGTCAGTTCCAAATCCCATTCTCCAACACTTCTCTGGACTGTTCCGTACATTCTAATGTAGCATGTCCAAAGGCAACCGCAAACTCACCTTCTCCCCAAGCTTACCCCCTCCTGCTGGCGCAGTCTCCCCAAACGCTGACTTCTCCCCAGACGTTGGCTTCATCCCACACGCAGGCCCTTGCTATCTGCCTCCTCCACCACCAAGGCCTTTCCATGACCCAAGCACAGCCGAGGACTGAGCCCCTCCGGAGGCAGCACTCGGGCAGCGGGCCGTCCCTGGGACCCAGCAAGGCCTTTCCGCGACCCACGTGCAGCCGAGGACTGAGCCCCTCCGGAGCAGCATTCGGGCAGCAGGCTGTCCCTGAGACCCAGCAGCTCCATGGCTCCATGGCGCCTCTGACGTGGGAAGACCCTCACGTTCCTTCTCTGTAGAAACACCAAGATTCTGAGTCTAAAACCTGGATGACAGAGGTGATGATTTAGAATTGAAGATTCCAAAAATTACCCATGACTGCAGCTTCTGAAACAGAGCCAGACTCAACAGTTGAGGAGTTATTTGGCTGACCAGCCACACAACCGATACAAAACAGGCGCTTCTGCCTCGAAAGCCTCTTATCCTTGAACAGCAAAATCTGAATTGGGTTTGGAAACAGACAGTGTGTCTTGGGGGGTCCATTATTAATGCCCACGGCCCCACCCAAGGGGGAAGAGAGTTGGACCAGCAGCCAGGCTCTCAGGAGGCCAGCAACACACATGCTCCCAAGGAGGCCGAGAGCTACTGCGCAGAGCTCCGTCCACACCGGCCAGGCTCCGGAAGGCAGCGCCCAGCACTCGCCACATGAGTGGGGGAGCCAGGGTCTTCCCTGACAGTGATTCTGGGAGCTGGGTCTCACTCTGGCCACACAGACACCTGGAGTGCCTCCAGCCCTTGCAGAGCAGTGAATGCACCCCCAATTGCTGCCCTCCCACCTGACACTCCTGCCCCGGCACTCGCCAGCCCGAGCCCTCCTGCAGAAGCAAAGCCCACCAGGACACAGGACTACCATCAGCAAAAACCACTTTCAGAAGGTTACAGAAAAACTGTCTTGATTGTTAGTCACTAAAAAACGGTCAAACGGTGGCAGACTGGAGCATTCTTACAAGTGGACTCCTTTAAACAGATTTCAGTCCACAGCACTAAACCGACACTGTCACCAACAGGCGACGGAGGGTGTGTGCGCTACATGCTGACGGACAGCTCTTTCCAGCATCTCCAGAAACTTTTCCAGTGGCAAAGCAGTGCAGTTTAAAATGCTAGAATTTGGCCAGGCACAGCAGCCCAGGCCTGTCAGCCCAGCACCTTGGGAGGCCCGGGGCAGACAGATCTCAAGGCCAGGAGGGGCAGACAGATCTCAAGGCCAGGAGGGGCAGACAGATCTCAAGGCCAGGAGTTCCAGACCAGCCTGGCCAACGTGGCAAAACCCCATCTCTACTAAAAATACAAAAGTTAGCTGGGCGTGGTAGTGCACGCCTGTAGTCCCAGCAACTTGGGAGGCCAAGGCAGGAGTAATGTTTGAACCTGGGAGGTGGAGGTTGCAGTGAGCCAAGATCACCCCACTGCACTCCAGCCTGGGTGACAGAGCGAGACTCTGTATCAAATGAAGTGTTAGAATTCCAATTACAAATTCGTGGGTGGTCACATCATGGTCAGGACACTCCAGTCCTCCCTGTGATGAGGTGATGTTGCCCCGTGTCGCTCCACAATGGCTCAGACGCTCCTCCACCTGCTTTCCCACCTCCTGCATGTGGCTTCGCTGACGTCACACAGACGTCACAGGGCTGAAGGGCGAAGTCTGCTGGGCGTTCATCTGCTGGGCAGCAAAACCCTGGAGGGTCCTCAGTCCCGACAGTCAGTTCCCAGGGCCAGACAAATCAACCACCAATGTGCTTCCATTGCAGGACCTCCTTCAGCTGCTATTTACTCGAAACTGACATATCAATCTCAATCCTCTGAAAGAACAGCCATGGAAGCCTCTTGTTCAGGGCACTCACAGTGGGGAAAGGGTTCTGTCCTCTGTTGATTCTCTGGTCTTTTTTTCTAACAAGATAGTCGGGACTCTTTGATTCTGTTTTTGATAATGTCCTAGGTTCAGAAGGAGGGGCAGGTTTTGAACAGCGGTGCATGATAGGTCTGACCCTAACAACAGAAATAGCCAGAGAATGGCCATGCTGGGCAGCCCAGGAGCTTACAGATACTAACTCAGGTCTCCCCACCACATGTCAACACAGCATTCGTATCCCCCTACTTCACACAGGAGGACTGAGGTAAGAGGCCTGCACCCTCTCCTTCCCCCACAGACTCTGGTTAGTGTGCTCCTGGGTTGAGGCCCCAGCTCTCACTGGATCTGTGACTCAGGGCAGGATCAGCAGAGACACCGCCAGGTGCTCACAGCGACAACACCTCCAGAGAGGCAGGAGACCGGTGGGAAGGCGACCTGCGGCTGCTCCAACCCAGGGACCCTCCCTACTGGGCACAGCTGAGGGTCTACAGGACTGCCACGGAAACCTTCTCTTTCAGGATCGTGACCTGGAGGTCACTGCAGCTCATCCCCTCCCGACCCCGTCCCCGTGGCAGGGTGTGGGGGACAAAGAGCTGGCTATCCTGTGTGCTTCCAAGTGGGGACAGCCAGGCTGCACCCTGTTGTTTAGCGGTGCCTGAGATGATGCCCGGTGGCTAGACGAGGACAGGACGGATGATGTTCAGGGACGTGCTCACATCCCACAGCCACGCCACGGAGTGCCGGAAAAGGACAGAGTAGCCTGGCCCAGGGCTGCACTCCCACAGCCACAGCCCTGCAGCCTCCCAGGCCGCTCTCCTCCCGGCCCCGTCCTGTGCAGACACAGGGCCGCTGGAGCTGTGTGTCTGCGGGGACTCAAGCCGTGGGTGTAGAAAATCAACTCCCTGTTCCAGAAGGAATCAAGTGTGTGACGTTGAGAACACAGACGCCACCACCACGCCCGCGACGCCCCGCCTGACACCTACCCAGCTGCCGGAGCCCGGGGAGCAGGTGCACGACAAACAGGCGGTAGTCAGACTCGGCCTTCACCACGGGGTTCAGCCGCAAGTCCAGGTCCACAAGCTCCGTCAGGGAGTGGAGCCGGAACACTTCTGCCAGCGACGAGATGCAGTTGTAGTAGAGATTGAGACTCTCCAGCGCAGTCAGGTACTGAATGCCCTGTTAACAGGAAGACACTGTGAATTCGTTCACACTTTAAACCAACCAACTTAATAAACACACTTGCAATAAATACATGTGTTACCAGCAAAAGTAGTAAAATGAGACACGTTCTCATTTGTGAAGTTCTCTGGGCCCACGCGGTGAGATGACTGTTTAGGGAAGCCACGTGTGCCGCAGCGTGATGGGACTGAGCATAGCTGGTACCTATGGAGGCCTCCATGTGCACCACGCTGAGTGACTCTCACACACAACCTCACTTAATCCACACGCCGCCCTACAGGGTGAGAACCATTGGGGCCCCACTTTGCAGATGAGAAAGCTGAGGCCTGGGAAGGGGAAGGATGAGGCCACACTCGGTGTAACCTGGCTGGGCCCACGTCTGACTTGGAGCAGACTCCCGAGCTGCTGTCAGACACAGCCTCCATAATGTTCAGGCCCCACGCTCGGGGCAGGCACATCCCACAGTCCTGTCAAGGCCAATCAGGCCACGGGCAGGGTGTGCACAGCTCCCCCGCACCATCACCTCGGCGTCTCCCACCAGGGCGACCCCGCCAGGGGCCCAGCAACAGCCCCAGACCCACTCAGTAAGTCTCTGGGGTCTCATTTCATTTCCTTTAAATATGTAACTATCATCAGCAGAGGGCTACAACACAATGTAATGTGATGTGTATGAAATCTAGCCCACAGCAAACACAATAAAACACAACACCAAGAGTCCAGTTCACAGGTGTAAGCACACAGTTGCAAAACAGACTCCGTTTCCACTGTAAATGTACTTTCCACTGATGTTGATAGCAACGAATTTTCTTTTTAGAAAGAGACCTAAAACTCACCTCCAGACTAACCAAGGAGTTGCGTGAGAGATCGAGAGATTTCAGACCTGTTAAACTCATCAGAGAACGTCCCAGGTGGGTGATCTTCTCTTGGTAAGTTCCAGGAATAGACAATGACCGAAGCTCGGCTGAGAATACAAAAAATTATGAGACTTTAATCTTTTCTTTTGAAAACAATGATTACAATAAAGATGAGGTTCTTGGTGTTTGGAATACAGTATAGATACTGACACAGTCCTGGTTTGACTAAACCTTACTCCAGCTCCTGAATCTTCTCCTAGGCCATCCGTCCCTTCCTTGTAAAGTCCCGTCTAGCGCAGCCAGAACCCCCACCCTCAATATCTGATCAGGTTCCTTATCCCCCACGTCCCACAGGTGATGCTGGGTCCCCCAGCCTGTCTTTCGCAACAGCCCCATTGGGTCGGTTTAGCTAAAATCCCCCTGGCTCCTCACGTCTGCTCAGTCATTTTCCATCCACTGCCCCACCCTGATCCTCAGCTATAAACTCCCCTTGGCCCCTGCCGCACTTGCATTGAGCTCCATCTCTCTCCCCCACTGCAAAATCCCAGCACGGGGGCCCCAGGCCCGCCTCGACGGTTCTGAACAAAGCCTTCCTCACTGTGCCTGACAAGGGTCATTCAATACAGTCCTTCCTCTAACAATACATGTAAAAAAGACTGAAAGACAAATATTAACCCATGTGTCCTACTGGGGACTAAATCCCTCTATTATCCCTGTTACACATTTCTGTACTTCCAACTTTTCTTATCATCTGAAAGAGGCACCGAGAACCCCAGTGCGACCCATTCGGAGTTGGAATGTCAGCACTGAGGAGCAGGGACCGCACCTGGGGTTTTAGCTCAGTCCCTCCAAGCCCACACCCTGCCTTCCACCTCGATTGCCTCTCCCTCCCAAACCATCTCTCACCAGGAACGCCTCACTAATTCATCTCCTGCTTCCACTCTGGCTGCTCAATTCTGTCACCCCTCACAGCCATCACCATCTGAAACCACCAGCCGGGTAACCTGTCTGCTCTGTCCTCCCCCCACACCTCGGTGGGACCGTGCGAGCTCTGTGCACCAGGCCTGCCTCTGCAACACGCACCCCATAAGCAGCCATTAGAGCAACGTCAAACACAAGGTTAAAGTTTCCACAGCCAAAAAGACAGTTTAGATCTGAATACATCAATACACCAAGACTTTCCCGGGAAAATTTAAATGTTAAAATATGTTTTTTTGTTTTTTGGTGTTTTTTGGGGGGACAGAGTCTCACTCTGTTGCCCAGGCTGGAGTGCAGTGGTTTGATCTCAGCTCACTGCAACCTCCGCCTTCCCGGTACAAGTGATTCTCCTGTCTCAGCCTCCTGAGTAGCTGGGATTACAGGTGCCTGCCACCACATCCAGCTAATTTTTGTATTTTTTAGTAGAGACCAGGTTTCACCATGTTGGTTGGGCTGGTCTCGAACTCCTTACCTAAAGTGATCTATCTGCCTTGACCTCCCAAAGTACAGGGACTATAGGCGTGAGCCACTGCACTCGGCCAGAATATGGTTTAAGTTTAAATTTGGGTTGGAGCTCTCCCAGTTCCAGGCAAGATGGAGGAGATACATTTCACTCTACTCCTCCCACATATTAGACCCACCACCCTGGAGGAAAATATACAAAACAGGCATTGGGAGGCCGAAAGGTGGGAACAGAAGGCCAGCCAGCCAGGGGCCTCGGCACTCGAGAAATAACCCAGCACTGAGTCCCTGGATTGGCTCTGGGGTTTTGTTGGGTGCCACACAGGCTAGCATCCCGGACACACCAATGGGCCAAAAACCCTCAGCCTGCTCTCCATGGTCAAAGGACGAAGGTCAAAGCCTTCACATAGGCTCTCTTCACATCATCAGCCCTACTGCGACCAAACCACACACCCACACCCACACCCACACACACCTCGTCCACCTGGCCTTGTTCACATCAGCCCTACTGTGACCAAACCATACACCCACATCCACCCCCTATTGCAACTAGCCACCCCCCCGACACACACACACACAACCTACTGCAACCAAGCCTCCCCCCACCCACACATACACCCTTCATCCACCTGGCCTTGTGCCGCAGCAAGCACCGGGGCGTGAGAATGGACCCTGACCACGGTCCTGGCCTGGCTGGAGCGACGTGGCGCCCTTCGCCCTCCCGGGCAGCAGGGTCCGCCAGAGGCCGTCCGGGCGGAGGCGGCGCCCAGCAGCGGAGGGAGGGGACTGAAACAGGAAGCGGAGTCTCGTGACGTCACGCCCAGCGTGTCCGCAATCCGATTTAAGAAACGACCAAGAACCAGAAAAATGGCAATTTGAACGAGGAAACAGTCGATCAACAGCTATCACCGAGAGAGGACACAGAAGTCACGTCTAACAAGGACTTTAAAGTGACTGTCATAAAAAATACTTGTAACTACAAACGCTTGAGACAAAAGAAAAAATAAGTCTTCGCGGCGGTAGTTCAAGATGGCGGCGCCCAGTGGCACCGCGAGCGGTTCGGAAAGCAGCAGCGGCAGCGGCGACGGAGGAGCTGGCGCGGTGCCCGAGGGGCAATGCCGGCCTGGGGCTCGGAGCCGCGGCCGCACGGGGCAGCGAAGCCAAGAGCCTCCATCTTGAAGGTGCGTCTCTCTGGAGTCCACACGTCTCACCAGCTCAATTGCTGCAGTCGACTCCGTGCTCCTGCCGTTACCCCAACAGTCTCGCGCCGCACAGCAGCCAAAGATGTTCCGTGAAAACCCTGGTGCTGCAGATAACCGGCTGTGAGCCTCTCAACCGAGCCTCAGGCCTAAGGTGGATGGGCATGAGCAAGATGGCAACGAGCTTCAGACCACCCCCGAATTCCGAGCCCACGTAGCCAAGAAGCTGGCAGCTTGCGGGACAGCTTCATGCCATCTCAGAAGTAGCAAAGGAGCCAACAAAAGCTCAGGTACAAAGTCGCTTCAGAGGATGACGGTTTCTGCCTTTTCTTCACGTCTGTCCCTGGAGGCCCTGAGAAGGAAGAGTTGCCCCAACCCCGCCGAAAGCGCCCGCCCTCCAGCTCCAGCAGTGAGGACAGTAACGAGGAGTGGCGGCGGTGCCGGGGGGCAGCTGTGTCGGCCTCTGACACCCTGCAGGAGGCAGCCATCCATAGCGCTGGCACGGTGAAGGAGGCAAAGAAGAAAAGGAAGTTGCAAAAGCAAGCCAAGAAGGTGGCGAGAGTAGCCACCACCCCCACCAGCGCAGCCGCGGTCCAGAAGCAGAAGTCAGGTGAGATCACCAGGGACCGAGTGTTGCTTGGAACCAAAAGGAAGAAAAAGAAGAAAAAGGCAAAGAAGGCCAGTGAGGCCTCTCCATTCCCACCAGCAAAGAGCGCCACGGCGGTGCCTGCAAACTGAACCAGCTGCGGGCAAGGACAAAGAGCGCCACGGCAGTGCCTGCAAACTGAACCCAGCTGCGGGCAAGGACGAAGAGCGCCACGGCGGTGCCTGCAAACTGAACCAGCTGCGGGCAAGGACGAAGAGCGCCACGGCGGTGCCTGCAAACTGAACCAGCTGCGGGCAAGGACGAAGAGCGCCACAGCGGTGCCTGCAAACTGAACCAGCTGCGGGCAAGGACGAAGAGCGCCACAGCGGTGCCTGCAAACTGAACCCAGCTGCGGGCAAGGACAAAGAGCGCCACGGCGGTGCCTGCAAACTGAACCCAGCTGTGGGCAAGGACGAAGAGCGCCACAGCGGTGCCTGCAAACTGAACCCAGCTGCGGGCAAGGACGAAGAGCGCCACGGCGGTGCCTGCAAACTGAACCAGCTGCGGGCAAGGACAAAGAGCGCCACGGCAGTGCCTGCAAACTGAACCCAGCTGCGGGCAAGGACGAAGAGCGCCACAGCGGTGCCTGCAAACTGAACCAGCTGCGGGCAAGGACGAAGAGCGCCACGGCGGTGCCTGCAAACTGAACCAGCTGCTGGCAAGGACGAAGAGCGCCACAGCGGTGCCTGCAAACTGAACCAGCTGCGGGCAAGGACGAAGAGCGCCACAGCGGTGCCTGCAAACTGAACCCAGCTGCGGGCAAGGACAAAGAGCGCCACGGCGGTGCCTGCAAACTGAACCAGCTGCGGGCAAGGACAAAGAGCGCCACGGCGGTGCCTGCAAACTGAACCAGCTGCGGGCAAGGACGAAGAGCGCCACGGCGGTGCCTGCAAACTGAACCAGCTGCGGGCAAGGACGAAGAGCGCCACAGCGGTGCCTGCAAACTGAACCCAGCTGCGGGCAAGGACAAAGAGCGCCACGGCGGTGCCTGCAAACTGAACCAGCTGCGGGCAAGGACAAAGAGTGCCACGGCGGTGCCTGCAAACTGAACCAGCTGCGGGCAAGGACTCAGCTCCAAGGACAGGGTGCCCCGGAGACAAGACATTACCAAGCCCCACCTCCCTCTCCAAGTTCAAGGGCTGGGCTGGCAAGTCTAGACTGTCCGCAGACCCTGGTGGTGATGAGGGCTTGCCTGAGAGTCGGGCCAAAAAAGTGGCTGTGGGTGAGAAGCCCAAGCACAGCCTGGCCCTCTGTGCTCCCACGGGGGGCTGAGGGGCCTGTGGTTCCAGAACATTGCATGGCCTCAGGAAAAGGAGCCATCCGATTGAGACTAGTGGCCAAGTGGTGAAACCTCTATCTCCCTAGAACTGTCTGAGGTGGGCAGGGGAAGGTAGATCTCCTCCCCCACCACCTCCTTAGCCGGGCATGAGAAACCGTTTTTAGAAAATGGGAGAAGGGATCCCAAGATGCCAAGGCCCAGAGAAACTTCTGTTCTTCTCCCCTTAGCTCACATAGACGTCACAGAAGTGTATGAGAAAGGAGAGAGATTTTTTTACCCCTGGCTTTCTAGAATTTCCTTTGTCTGCATTTGTGAATATACCACACATGATGGTGTCTCTGAGCCGACCAGATTATGGAAACTCAATTGTCAGGGGACCCAAACAAAACAGAGTGAGTTGGGTATTGTCTCGTCAGTGCTGAACCTTAAGACACTTTGAATAAACATCCTCCTCCTCTCTCCACCCCACTCAAGATTTCAGGAAGTGTCACAGCGCTCGTGGACTAGGTTTCCTGTGACAGAGGCATTCTGCAAGAAGTAGAAGCTCGCTGCCAAGCACAGTGGCTCACGCCTGAATTCCTAGCACTTTGGGAGGCCAAGGAGGGTGGATCAGTTGAGGCCAGGAGTTTGAGACCAGTCTGGCCAACATGGTGAGACCCCGTCTCTACTAAAAATACAAAAATTAGCTGGGCATGTTGGCACACACATGTAATCCCTGCTACTCGGGAGGCTGAGGCAGGAGAATCATTTGAACCCAGGAGGTGGAGGTTGCAGTGAGCCGACATTGCACCACTGCACTCCAGCCTGGGCAACAAAGTGAGATGAGACCCTGTCTCAAAAAAAAAGTAGTAGAAGTAGTAGTAGTAGTAGTAGTAGTAGTAGTAGTAGTAGAAGCTCACAGCCAGACACTGTGGCTCACACCTGTAATCCCAGCACTTTGGGAGGCAGAAGCAGGGGGATCACTTGAGGCCAGGAGTTCCAGACTAACCTGGATAACTTGGTGAAACCCTGTCTCTATTAAAAAAATTTAAAAAAAAAAATAGTCTTAGCAAAGAAACAGAAGATATAAAGAAGAAAAATAGAAATTTTAAAGAAAAATACAATAACAAAAAATCTTTTGAGCAGTTTAATAGCAGAATGGAGATGACAGATGAAAACTATAAAGAAAAACTAAGAGAACCGGTCACAAGCAGACCTGCCCTAAGACAATCGCTGAAGACCAAAGAAACCTGAAACATGGTGGAATGAAGAAAAAATAACAGAACAGGTAAGCATGCGGATAAATATGTTTCCTCCTGAGTTATTCAAAAAGCTAGGTAGTTTTAAAACTCACATGATTAATATGGTTCTCAAAATATGTAGAGGAAATACTTAAGACAACTAAAGTGTAAAGAGGATGGAGACCTAAATGGTGGTAAGGTTTGGACATTTTGCTTAGAAGCGGTAAAATGTCTGTAAAAGTAAACTGTGTTGAATTACATATACATATTGTGATTTGTACAGCCACCACTATAAAAACCATACAAGGAGATATACATCAAAACATAACAGATAAATCAAAATGAGATACTGAAAATATTCAACTAAGTCACAGGAGGCAGGAAAAGGGAAACAGAAGAAAAAACATAGGAAACAATTAAAAAATAAAATGGCACACTTAAGTCCTGATATTTAACAATTAGATTAAATGTAAATGGCCTAAAATACTACTACAAGACAGAGATTAGCAGAGTGAATAAAAATAATGAACCAAGAAACTAATTTCAAATATAAAATAAAAGTAGGTTAAAAGTTCAAAGTAAATGGATAGCAAAAGATATGCCATGCAAAAACCAACTGAAGGAAAGCAGCAGCAGCTACTCCCATCAAACTAGACAGATGTCTCAACAAAGAAAATTCACGTGAATAAACGAGGAACAAGGGCTAGGCGCGGTGGCTCACGTCTGTAATCCCAGGACTTTGGGAGGCTGAGGTGGGTGGATCACCTGAGGTCAGGAGTTCGAGAGCAGCCTGGACAACATGGTGAAACCCTGTCTCTACTAAAAATACAAAAATTAGCTGGGTGTGGTGGCAGGGTGCCTGTAATCCTAGCTACTAGGGAAGCTGAGGCAGAAGAATCGTGTGAACCCAGGAGGCAGAGGTTGCAGTGAGTCCAGTTCACGCCACTGTACTCCAGCCTGGGCAACAAGAGCAAAACTCTGTCTCAAAAAAAAAAAAAAAAAAAAGAGGAAGACTACATATATTAAAAGGGTCAGTTCATTAAGAAAATATAAAAATTCTAGATATGTAATTCAACAAATAACAGAGCTTCAAAACACATAAAGTGAAAAGAGAAATAGAAAAATCTACAATTACCCTAAAGGGTTCAAGACCCCTCTCTCAGTAATTGAGTTACTAGACAGAAAATCAGCAAGGATACAGAAGAATTGAACAATACCATCAACCAAGAGGATTTAATTAATATTTATGTATTCACATAACACTCCAACCAGCAACAGAATACACATTCAAGTGCACCTGGAACATTCACCAATACAGCCCAGATGCTGGACCATAAAGCAAACCTTGACAAATTTAAAAGAATTAAAATCATACAGATTATGTTCTGGCCATAATGGAATCACACAGAAAAATAACAGGAAAATCTCCAAATGCATGGAACCTTAAAAACATACTCCTTAAAAATCCACAGGTCAAAGAGGAAGTCTCAAGGGAAATTCTTAAAATATTCTGAACTGGATGAAAATTAAAATACAACATAACAAAACTTGTGAATACAGTGAAAGTAGCGTTCAGAGGGAAATTTGTGGCACTATTTATATTAGAAAAGAAGAAAGTCTCAAATCAATGATCTACATTTTTGCCTCAAGAATCTAGAAAAAGCGTAACATAAATGCAAAGCAAGCAGAAAAGGAAATAAAAAGCAGATCAGTGAAATTTGAAACTAGAAAAACACTGGAGAAAAACTGATCAAACCCAAAGTTGGTTCTTGGAAAAGATCAATAACATTAACAAACCTCTAGCAAGACTAAAAAAGAATACACAGATCATCAATATCAGGAACAGAAGAGGGATATCCCTGTAAACCCTGTAGCACTAAGCAGGGAAGAAGGGGGGCCTCAGTGCATCCCGAGGTCAGCTGCCCTCTCAGGGATTACCTCAGAGCTGTGTGGCACCTACTGCCTTAGGATCACTCAGACTCTGTCATGAGGTTATAGTTCCCCTTAACTACTCTGTATATAGTAACTTGAACATTATAAAACGTTAAATTTTCCATTTGATATATTCTTTCGGGACCTGGGGACTGATGCCAGCTGGTCTAAGGACCCCACAAACAGACTCACCAAAGAATCCACTTTCCACAGGATCTAACTGATACTAGATCTAGATTGTTGAATGTTCCAGGTGAACTTGATCAATGCAGGTTCCACAGGATCTAATCATCCCGATGATTCCGTGCCCTTTACCGCCAACAATTGACAGCCCCAATTTTCCAGCCCCTCACGATTCTGTTCCTTAAAAAAACCCAGCTCAGATCTCCTTGGGGAGACGGATGAAGGCCTCCTTCCACCTCCCTGCTGAGCTCCTGCCAGGATTAAACGGTTTCTCTGCTGCAAACCGCCGCCCCCTCCCCCACCCCAGTCTCAGTGTATTTGCCTGTGGCCCTGCAGCACCTGATTGAACCTGTCGGCCCAGTAACACCTGCAGACCACACACAGACATCAACAGGCTAATAACAGAACTCCAGGAACAACTCTACACACATTCTCGACAAGTCAGCTCCAATGAGCCAACTCCACAAAATCACACACAGCCAAGACTCAAGGTGAACTGATAATATGAACGGTTTCCTAACAACCAGATACAGAATTTGTCATTTAAAAGCTTCAAAAACAGAAATTTACATGCCCATGTGGTTTCACTGGAAAATTCCAAGAAACATTCAAAGCACACGCTCATTAGCACAAACTACAAAACCTCTTGTAAACATCAGAAGAGAAGGCAACACTTCTCAACAGTTTATAAACTCAGCTTCACCCTGACGTCAAAACCAGACAAAAGCAGGCCAGAAAGAAGGAAACCGGCCACCAGCATCCCTCAAGAAGTCCGAGGCCAGCAGCCACCACGGAGTGGGCCCAGGAGAACCAGGAGCGGGGTCCCCAGCGGGAGGGCAGGCCACGCTCCAGGAGAGCAGGGCGGACTCCCCGTTCTCGGCGATGTAACCCCGTCACGGAACCACGACCACCCGACAGGCGGGCAGGAGCCGGACCCCGGGACACGGACGCGGGCAGGGGCCGCACCTGGGCACGCGGGGGCTGCACCTGGGCATGGGGGGTGGAGTCCTCACCTGGGCACGCGGGGGCCGCCCCTGGGCATGGGGGGTGGGGTCCTCAACTGGGCACGCGGGGGCTGCACCTGGGCATGGGGGTGGGGTCCTCAACTGGGCACGCGGGGGCTGCACCTGGGCATGGGGGTGGGGTCCTCAACTGGGCACGCGGGGGCTGCACCTGGGCATGGGGGTGGGGTCCTCAACTGGGCACGCGGTGGCTGCACCTGGGCATGGGGGTGGGGTCCTCAACTGGGCACGCGGGGACTGTACCTGGGCATGGGGGGTGGGGTCCTCAACTGGGCACGCGGGGGCTGCACCTGGGCATGGGGGGGTGGAGTCCTCACCTGGGCACGCGGGGGCCGCACCTGGGCATGGGGGTTGGGGTCCTGACCTGGGCACGCAGGGGCCGCACCTGGGCACGGGGGGTGGGGTCCTCACCTGGGCACGCGCGCCCCGCCAGCCCGCGACCGTTCCGGCCGCCCGCGGCGCCTGCGCAGAGGGGCCCGCCTGCCCACGATCCGCCGCCCAGGTAACCAGGCGCGGCCGCCCCGGGAAGCTCGGCACCCACCCCCGCCACCCTGACGCTTGCACCCCCGCCCGCCTGCGCACCCAGGTTGCGGTGAGGCCCCAGGCCGCTCTTCGAGCGGATCGCTTCCTCACTCAGCACCAGCCGCGGGACAGCCCGCGCCATGTTTCAAACGGAGCGCGCACCACGGCGCCTGCGCGGCGGGGCGGGGTGGAGCTTGCGCCGCGGGCGGGGCAGAGAGAGGGGCGGGGCCTACGCGGTGGACCCAAGAGCCCGGCGGGGCGGGGCGGGGCGGGCCCTGCGCGGCGAGAGGGGCGGGGCCTTGCCGCGGCCGGGGAGGCGGAGGGGCGTGGCCTGTGCGGACGGAACCCGAAGGATCCTGAGTGGGCTGTTCACCCCTGTACACACCTGGCAGTGACAGACCAGGGACGTGGCCAGCGACCTGGTCTAATCTGCAGTGCCCCTAATCACCAGGAGGAAAGTGGGGAGGGGACACCCCTGGGGCTCTGGGCTCGGCCACAGTGACACAGTGACACAGTGGATGTCCTGAGTGGAATTGAAGTCTTCCCACCCAACAGGCTGAACTCTGTCTTCCTTGAAAGCTCTGTGGAAGGACCTCACAGGGTAAACGCAGGGAGAGCCTCCAGGGGGCGGTCAGCCATAAGCCACCGTGCTGGGCCTGTTCTGGGGTGTGTGCAGGAGGTTTGTGCAGAGAATGCACACAGGGTCTGTGCAGGGAGTACGTACGGGGGTGTACATAGGAACTGTGCAGGGGTTTATACAGGGTGTGTGCAAGGGTTAATACAGGGGGTGTGCGCAGGGGGTGTGCAGAGGGTGTGTGCAGGGGATAGACACAGGGTGTGTGCAGGGGGTGTGTGCAGAGGGTATGTTCAGAAGGTGTGTGCAGAGGTGTGTGCAGGGGTGTGTGCAGGAGGTGTGTGCAGAGGGTATGTTCAGAAGGTGTGTGCAGAGGTGTGTGCAGGGGTGTGTGCAGGAGGTGTGTGCAGAGGGTATGTTCAGAAGGTGTGTGCAGGGGATAGACACAGGGTGTGTGCAGGAGGTGTGTGCAGAGGGTATGTTCAGAAGGTGTGTGCAGAGGTGTGTGCAGGGGTGTGTGCAGGTGTGTGCAGAGGGTATGTTCAGAAGGTGTGTGCAGAGGTGTGTGCAGGGGTGTGTGCAGGAGGTGTGTGCAGAGGGTATGTTCAGAAGGTGTGTGCAGAGGTGTGTGCAGGGGTGTGTGCAGGAGGTGTGTGCAGGCGTGTGTGCAGAGGTGTGTGCAGGGGTGTGTGCAGGAGGTGTGTGCAGAGGGTATGTTCAGAAGGTGTGTGCAGGGGATAGACACAGGGTGTGTGCAGGAGGTGTGTGCAGAGGGTATGTTCAGAAGGTGTGTGCAGAGGTGTGTGCAGGGGTGTGTGCAGGAGGTGTGTGCAGAGGGTATGTTCAGAAGGTGTGTGCAGGGGATAGACACAGGGTGTGTGCAGGAGGTGTGTACAGAGGGTATGTTCAGAAGGTGTGTGCAGAGGTAGGTGCAGGGGTGTGTGCAGGAGGTGTGTGCAGAGGGTATGTTCAGAAGGTGTGTGCAGAGGTGTGTGCAGGGGTGTGTGCAGGAGGTGTGTGCAGGCGTGTGTGCAGAGGTGTGTGCAGGGGTGTGTGCAGGAGGTGTGTACAGAGGGTATGTTCAGAAGGTGTGTGCAGGAGGTGTGTGCAGAGGGTATGTTCAGAAGGTGTGTGCAGAGGCAGATGCAGGGGGCATACGGGGGGTGGTGGCAGATGGTGGATGCGGGGCTGCATCTGGTCAGCCCAGGACGTTCTCTTGGCCCACTGGTGTTAGAGTACATTTGGCCAATTGCCCTCATCTGATATTTGACAAGCTGCAAACCCAAGGGCATGCTGGTGTCCGAGGGCACCTCTGTGCTGACCTCAGCATGTGCAGCAAGAGCCCGGACACCGTGGCCTGCCTGTCTCAGGCAGTGCTCTGTGGGAGGATGGGTGTCTTCGCTGACAACCCAGGGAGGACAGCAGGAGGAGCCCTGAGTTGGGCTCAAGAGCTGCAGGAGCAGATGGCTCTTCTGGTCTCTGCCACAGCTTTAGGCCACAGGACACACAACGTCATACTTGACCACCATGTATGGGGACTGCCGAGCACTCGGCATTCCTGAGTGCAGATTGTCAGGTAGCTTTACAAAACTTGCAAACCCAGCAACAGCTCCACGACCCCTCCTTTAAGACGGTTCAGGACACAGCGGAGCCTCACACTCCCAGCCCCACCACTGCCCTGGTGTGCACTGAGGGAACTCTGTCCAGCCAGGAGCGAACAGCATCCCACTCTTCAGAAGGACACGTCAGCAAACAAAAGTCCTCATGGGCCCTCACCCAACATCAGTGGCTTTTCAGGCATAACACAGGCCCCCGACACTGAGCCCCTTCCTCCTGGGCAGGTGCCCACTGGCCAGACAGGGCAGGGCAGGGACGAGTGGGACCTGAGTAGGCAGCCAGTCCAGGGCAGAGCCACAGGGACGTGATGGAAGTGCCAACAGGAACTTTGAAAACAATGTCTCATCTCATCAATGTATCGCAGCTTCGTTGTAGAAAATATAGACACTACAGAAGGGAACCCAGATGAGAGGTGCCACCCTGCTGAGATAACCCACCTCAGCATTCCCACGGTCCTGCAAGCGTTTCCTCAGATCTGTGCGCATTCACAGGCATGAAGTTATGCTAAGCATTGCCACACGCTTCTGCCACTAAGTAGTCTTTAATGTCGCTTATTAAACAGCATTTTAGTGGTCACATTAGAGCATAAACCAAACCCAACATTATCATCGCGTCTTCAGCAGCTGAACGTCGTTTCTGTCTCCACTTCTTCAAGGCGGTCACTCTGGCTGGCCACATTGTGAAGATCCTTGGAGACGTGGCAGCCTTCCAGCCTGGAGGGGGACTGCAAAAGCACATAGCCACGGAGAAGCTGGGAAAGCAGAGGCGGGGGGTGAGGTGCCTGGGCTTGGGCCCCATCAGCCTGTGGCAGAGGCACCCACACAGGCCTGAAGTCCCAGCAGCAGGAACGCTATCTGTGGGTCCAGGGCTCCCCTACGGCTTTGACCAGGCCCTAAGACAAGAGTCTCCATACCTGGGTACACCTCACCTCAGGTGGGACCCCAACACTTCAGCGAGTGTCACTGGCATCACTAAAGCTAGACCAGAAGAGAGTGTGTTATGCCATGATCACGATGACCCTCCCCATGCCAGCGCAGGCTCCCACCATGACCCCTCACCATCCCAGCACACGCTCCCACCATGACCCCTCACCATCCCAGCACACGAGCTCACCGTGACCCCTCGCCATCTCAGCAGACGCTCCCACCGTGACCCCTCCCCATGCCAGCACAGGCTCCCACCATGACAACTCCCCATCCCAGCACACGCTCCCACAATGACCCCTCGCCATCCCAGTAAATGCTTCCACCATGACCCCTCCCCATCCCAGCACACGCTGCCACCATCACAACTCCCCATCCCAGCACACACTTCCACCATGACCCTTCCCCGTCCCAGCACACGCTCCCACCATGACCCCTCCCCATCCCAGCACACGCTCCCATCGTGACTCCTCCCCATGACAGCACACGCTCCCACCATGACCCTTCCCCATCCCAGCACATACTCCCACCATGACCCCTCCCCATCCCAGCACACGCTCCCATCGTGACTCCTCCCCATGACAGCACACGCTCCCACCATTACCCCTCCCCATCCCAGCACACGCTCCCACCATGACCCTTCCCCGTCCCAGCACACGCTCCCACCATGACATTTCCCCATCCCAGCACACACTCCCACCATCACATCTCCCCATCCCAGCACACGCTCCCACCATGACATTTCCCCGTCCCAGCACACACTCCCACCATCACATCTCCCCATCCCAGCACACGCTCCCACCATCACATCTCCCCATCCCAGCACACGCTCCCACCATCACATCTCCCCATCCCAGCACACGCTCCCACCATCACATCTCCCCATCCCAGCACACGCTCCCACCATGACAACTCCCCATCCCAGCACACGCTCCCACCATGACCCCTCCGCATCCCAGCACAGGATCCCACGATTAGCTGTGATCATGAATGACCTCATGATGAATCCCAGGACTGCAGCTCCCAAGGACCAGCGGCGGCCTCCATCCCCAGGTTCTATCCGGGGTTCCTCACAGGGCCCCAGCCCTCAGGCCGAGTTCACATCTGGAGTGGCACTTTAGGCCAACAGACCCAGATCGCTGCGGCAGAAGCCGGGTGGGAGAGGCTCCCCATTTGCCGTCTCTCCAACAGGTAAACCTCCATAGCTTTCTAGAACATTCCAAGGAGGCTCCCAGTCCCCGAGTCTCCATCCTCAAGCCTGTGGGCCCTCCAGAGACCAGACAGAGACAGGAAGACCCACGCGGTTGGAGAGGAGAGCTGGGGGAGCAGCCTGAGGGAGCCCTGGGCTTTCTCTAAATGGAGTAGGGGTGGGAGGAGGCTGCTATGTGCAGTGAGGGGGCTTGAGAGGGAAATGAGTGTCTCCACCCACCCCAGGGACAGGCACTCACCCTAAGCCCACGCGGCTCGCAGCATCGTGACCAGGGCTGTGCACAGCGGCTACACCCAAGCCCAACTCCAGCTGTGTGCCTGAGCTCGCTCAGAGACTGGTCCTGAGTCATCCTCTGTCCGCCCTGCGTTTGAGAAGAAGGAGATGCGGGCATCCAGCGCAGCCGGGCTGGAAATCCACAGCCTGGCGGTGCAACCTCACCTGCACTCATGTGGCCAGTGGGACTCACCTTCGCACACTCACGCTCAGCTCACGTGCACACACAAGCACAGCACACGGTCCACGTTCATGCCCTTCACTCACCTTCGCACACTCATGCTCAGCTCACATGTACACACACTCACAAGCACAGCACACGGTCCACGTTCATGCTCTTCACTCACCTTCACTCACGCTCAGCTCACATGTGCACACACTCACAAGCACAGCACACGGTCCACGTTCGTGCCCTTCACTCACCTTCACTCATGCTCAGCTCACATGTACACACACTCAGGAGCACAGCACACGGTCCACTTTCGTGCCCTTCACTCACCTTCGCACGCTCACACTCAGCTCACATGTGCACACACTCACAAGCACAGCACACGGTCCACGTTCATGCCCTTCATTCACCTTCGCACACTCACGCTCAGCTCACGTGTGCACACACTCACAAGCACAGCACACGATCCACGTTTGTGCCCTTCACT